TTCCTGTTCTAATTGTAGCTCGAATATGCCGTCGGTGGCGCTGTGGTACTCACCGACGGCAGCATGCCGAGCTTTTTGAAAATTTCAGTCCTGACTTTCCAAAAGCAGCAACTATTGCTGTCTTCGTAGCACTTTCCCTTCAGACGGAATTTGTCAGTTACGATGTCGGTACCGTTGCCCTCAGTGTTGGTGATGTGGAGCCTATGGGTCAAGTGGAATGGGTCCAGTGAGGGCCCCTGTTTTATAGGATATGCTAACAAGCTTGTCATAGCGCTGAATGCCCTCCTACATTGCTGGACGAGCTTTCTGTCTCAAGTGCCGCCAAGAACAAAGACAGGCATTGGTACATCATCGCACAACTGACCAGGCCAATAAACTGAACATCCTTTCTGGAAGTGCACTCTATTTTTTTAAGTTGATATCAGGAAGAGGAGGTATTCAGAAGTCCTTTAGTGTAAGTGTTAACTAGCGCTTTACGCCATTGAGGGGAGGCTTGGGGCAATTCCAAACCAGAAGCAACTTTAACTTCGAAGAAACTACGAGTCAGGAGAGTTTCTGTTTGAGTTAAAAATCAATCAAGACGCTCATTCCCGCTAACAGTTCGAGCTCGATGCAAGCTCCCCACTAGGTGGACAATCTATCTCGTTACTCCCCTCTCGCCCAACAGGCACCTCCAACCTCGATTTGTCAGCTTCTGCTTCACGCATAGTTGTCATGTAAATCAATGTATTGAGCTGAAAACAATTTTCCTAAACAGCCAGCCTAGTTTATGAAATGACTGGTATAGCTCAATACTGAACCGGTTGTATTTGGTATAGGGCTAGTGCTCTTTCTGGACTTTCTGGAACGTGCTCAGTAATCAGCGGTCTTTCAGATTAAGTGCACGTTTCGTTTGTTTGTTAGAAATCCGTGGTTTTTCATTATATTATTTGCTATTTCATTATTTGCTTCGTCAATATTACTCTTCTGAGTCTTCGAAGGACTAATGTCAGGGAGAAACAGCTTTTCTTTGTCAGCTCCAAGCCTGCAATATTCTCAGAACGACGCCGTCACTACAGCTGACTACAATTTTGTAACCACGAACCCATAGTTACGAACATGTGGGAGAGATGTTTCCAATAATAATTTCCATTTCGTATCGAAAAACATGAATATTGTCGTTTGCTACAACTTCTCTATTGTTTTTACGATTATTCCCAGAAGGATTCCGTGGAGTCGACTTTCTGCAGCGGTTTTTGATTTTTTCGACGCAACTTCCGAATCCTCTTTGACTCTGTCATTGTCGACACCGTCAAAGAGGATCCAGGTGACTCTTTGACAATGTCGACAGTGTCAACAAGGACGTAAGTTTTATAGTCGAAGTCGAAGTCGAAGCGAATGAGGCCACAAAGTCTAGGAGGACCCAGAGTCAAGTGAAACAATAAAGAAGTCACTTCCTTGAATACAATCCTCATATCTCTACCCTTACCTCCCTCCTCCTCTTCCCCCTTGATTTCCATTCAATCTCTTTCCTATGACATTCCAATGAGTCGCTATCCGACTTTCCCCCCCCCCGCACATCACCAAACGTTTTCGAATGACCAAATAATGATGAAAAACTGTTGAGGTACCCGGGAGAAGGGCAGTAGGAACGATTTTGGTAATCGATTTGCCGCACGCGGCTGTCGCAGACCACTCATACGCCGTTATTATAGCTCTAGGGTTCTTCATACAGCTTGATCGATATGCGACCTTTATTTATTCATGATTCTACTATAAGTTCTTTTGTTCTTGTATTTCTTACCTACTGCTGCATCCTGCTACATTCCTTCGCGCGCGACGCCCCTCTCACCGCGACGCGACCATTTCGTTCCTAATGCACCACACCCGTGGGTACCCAAATCGAAGAGCGGGTTAAGGTCAAGCCAGCTATTGACAACCTGGAAGCAGCAGATCGACGAAAAAGATGATTCAAAGTCCTAATTGAGTAGTTTTGTCACTTTTACCTAACTTACTTTGATTCATGATTTTTCTATCGCCTTTGATAGATTTTAATTGTTTTTACTCACCCCTATTCAGTAATGAGCCTCATGAGCAAAGGGAGGCGGAAGCAGAGTGATTCATCTGATCTGAGTTGGAGCGAATAACTCTTATTATTCAAGTAAACTAGTACCTCGGAAGAATTTTTCTTTTTTTTTAAAAACCATTAACGCTTCATCTCTCCAGAGTCTATTTACCCAGAAATAGGGCTTTCGAGATTGCCATAGAGGTATTAATAGCACTTTTCTTCCTTGAATGATAAGCTCCAATCAAGTAAACTACCCAATTTCCGTCTGCGTTCACGCACGGAAAGCAATCTGATTAAATGCGGTTTTTTCAACCATTACAAGCTCAAAAATTAAATTTCACCGCAAACTTCATTCTGCACTTTTTGCCCTTCCTCAACGGCTTGATATCGCCTTTTTCATATTCTTTACAGTGATCGCTTCTTCATCACATAGTTCTCGGCTAAGTGAAAAGAGCCTGGCCAATAAATTAATTCTTACAGTATACTATGGGAGCCTGTGAATCAGTGGATGCCCGGAAAGCTCGAGAAGCAGCCCTGGTATCGAAGAAAATCGATAAGGAACTGGAACGAAAGAGTAATGGTAACATGGAGCAAAAACTGTTATTACTTGGACCTGGTGAAAGTGGAAAAAGCACCTGTTTGAAACAGTTGAAGTAAGTTGAGAAGGTTTTTTTTGATAGAGTTCTGTGTGACTTGGATGGGTCAGTGACCGATTTCAGAATATTGCACGCGAATGGCTATTCGGAGCAGGAGATCCAAGAAAAGAAGTTTGTCGTCTACATGAACATCGTTCAAGCGATGAGCGCTCTTCTGGAAGCTAAAGATACACTGGGAATCCCTTTCGACAACAGTTCCATGGAGGTGAGAGCCATTTCCTATTGATGGGAATACTAAAAACAAAGAAGTCCTGTCCTGAAAAGGAAGGCCGTAGTAATTTGGCGAAAGTTGGTCGGAGGTAGTCGCCAGTGCTGCATGCGTTCAGTCCTTCCCTCATGCCTACCATCTATAGGTTTCTACTGATCCAATATATTATATGTAATCGGTGGTATGTAGTCTAAAGACTTTAGCGTCAAGAATTTCCACTTTTGAAATGCGCCCTGCGTCAGACTTCCATTCAGGATCATAGTAAGGTTTGAATGAGTATGTCTCCCATACAATGGCTTCAGATGGCTGGCCCTCATACAAGACACTGATTTTGTACTCTGTTACCATTATCCGACTCTGGTTAGGATCCAAGAGTGGTCGTCTGCGACAAGATCTCCGCCCAAAACTCGCAGGACAATTTCGAGACATTAACTTTGTAGTTTTCTCAACATCTTGATGACTTACTCCTACCTAGTATTCTGGGAAATACGAATGAGTAAGGCTACAGAATAAAATTTTACGTCTCCAAGGTGTCCGGTGTGAGTCATTCTAATGGTTATGAACAATGAAATTAGAAGGACTAGAACTTAATATCACGTGCAGTTTGCAGTTTGTTCTTAGACAGGTGATAAGGACTGAATCCCACCTGTTCTCCCTGTTCTCGTGACCAGACAATCATCGAGCAAGTTCCCACGATTTCCGGAACTGCATTGTGCTAGTAAGTAATTAGTACCATAGAAATACGGTGCTTAAACCAACTTTCAAGGTGGAGGTGTGGAAAGGCCAAGTGAGGCTGCTGTCGTGGATGATCCCACTATTGAGCGCTGAATCGACAACAGAGCAGGCCTTACGAACATTCTTGTTCGTGTTTCCGGGGACGACTTACCACCGTTGAATTTTGCTCACGAGGATAGGACTGGAGACTCTCACATTACCTTGTTTACATCAGTTATTGTACCAGTCAAAAAAGCATACAAATGCATCCACGATTCCAGTTTGGGGTTGCAGTCGGATGCGTAGGTCATTGATTCGCTCCAAAGTCCTCCTTATCTCAAATTTGATTTTATGTAAATGTAACGAGCATCAAAGAGGCCTTTCCATTCATGACTGCCATTCATGCCATTGGCTTCTTTTAGTTTCAACAGTCTTTCTTAGAAAACAGTGCAATGACACGAAGGGGGTGAGGAATTGACGTAACCTACGTAAGGTGATATGACAGTTACTAGGAGTGCGGTCATTATAAAGATGTCGCGGGGGAGTATGAAGGAGAACAAGCCCCATTTCTTGCCCAAGGAACGGCCAAATGCCATGAATTTTCAAATTCCAAGCCAAGTTATTCAGGAGTACAACTTCCCCCCGGCCCTAACGAGTGAATTTGCGGAAATAAAATGTCCGAACAAACAATGATTCTGTGGCTTGTTTTCCATAAATATAGTATCAAAATATCCGCGTATTGAGTGTATAATGACCCCATGATTGTTAAAATTTTTAGAATTTTAAATTTTTCACGAGGTGCAGCTGAGAATGTGGCTGATTGAACTCCTTTCTACACATACGCTTTTTTTACTGACATGATTCTATGATATAGTATCGAGCATTTACCTTTTGGTTTTCAAATACCTATGAACAAAATTTTATTAAAAATTGGATGACTGTGCCATATTGACCCTTTGACGACAATAGCACCCACCGGTCGGTGCCACTATGACTGGCATATGGGGCATCGGCATCCAATTTTGAGCCCCACCATACTTTCTTGCTTCTTACCAATTGCTTATTTCAGTAAGTCAGTGAAAGAATTTTTTCCTGGGACAGTGCCACCCACCGGTGGGTGACAGTCGCGTGCGTAATGAGGGGAGCTTGGTCCCATGGGCGCGTCACGTCGAAATCCGCATTGCCGTCAAAGGGACAATGACTGCTAACTAAGCGCATTACTCGATTCAACTGTAAGTACTCGTATATCATGACAAATCTCTACATATCCAGATCCACGGTAAACTCGTCCGAAAAGTTTATGCATCCGGTTGTGAGTTTATTGAATGGAGTCCGGAGTTGCAATCAGCTATACGTGAACTATGGGCAGACGGTGGTATCAGGAAAACGTACACGAAGCGGAATACCTTCCATCTGAGTGAAAGCGCTGAGTAGTAAGTGTCCTCTGATCTCAATGGAACTTCCGTTTTTAGAAACCTACACAATCCACCTCAATGGTTTTTGTGGCCGCTCATTTTCTTTTTTATCATTTTTTTTTTTGAATTTTATAGAGCTTTTTTTACTCCGTGAGTCAATATGGATACAATATCAAGCCCCATATGAAGTGGAATTATGTGTAAACAAAATTTTATACGTCATTATTATAATGTTAGTTTATTCCAGTTTTTTCAACGATTTGGATCGAATATCGAAGAAAAACTATAAACCGTCGTTACTGGATATTTTACACACCCGAGTGCCAACGTCTGGAGTTGTTCAGTTCTATTTTACAATGAAAGGCATCAATTTTGAGTGAGTTTGAGAAATTCTGGATGAGTTTCACAGATGCTCCGAGTAGATTATTAAAAGGATTGACTTGTAAACGGGCGGGGTCTGTGGGATCCTGAATTGAACGGCCATTCTGAGACGATTTTTTGTCGAGGAAATCCAGCAAACCTACAGCGATTTTAATTTACTTGACTTAATCCTACTGGTAGAGCTCTTTGTAAGGTGATCCTAGGAGCCAGGATTTCTGACTGAGTTTGTCTCATGTGTTCCCAATCGTCAATTTTTAGGGTTTTCGATGTGGGTGGTCAGCGATCGGAGAGGCGGAAATGGATTCATTGTTTTGACAATGTAAATGCCGTTATTTATGTAGCAGCTATAAGTGAATACGATCAAGTGCTACGGGAAGACAACAAAACGGTACGTCTTAGTAGTTTCTTTCAATCAAACCTACACTTTCTGGGGAAAAGATGAAAATGAGGTGAAGGAAATTGAGTGTTCTATGTAGTTCTAATTGCAACAGCAAAAGATTGACGTAAGTACTTTGCCTTAACAATATTTACGTATGCAATTGCTTACTGTAATTTGGTTACCGTATACCATAGTTATGAATTAATTTTGTTTTCTTGCAGAATCGACTCAAAGAAGCTTTATTGTTATTCGATGGCGTTATCAACAATCAATATTTTAAAGATGTATCCGTTATATTATTTCTTAATAAAAAAGATTTATTCGCGGAGAAAATATTATACGTATCGTTGAAAGTCTGTTTTGAAAGCTATGACGGTAGGTGATTTTTTACTTGAAACCTAGTTGAGCCAGAACTTTTATTATTAGGTGTTTTCATGAAAAGCAAGTCTTCTTGAGCCGAGAATAAAGTTAATCAGAGATTATTGTATATATTTAGTGATAATTCACTTTCAGCTGAACGAGACGGCAGTGGTTATGCAGCTTCAGTCGCGTACATAAGGAGGCGATTCGAGAATGCTCTCACAAAGCATGCGAAAAAACCGTGAGTCCATTACCTCTGTCAGACAAACCTACTCGGTATCCAACTTTTTGTAGAAGGGATTTAAGGGTTCCTCTATCGAAAGTTTTTCGGTAATTTTTCTTACATTTGGGCTGTTTAACTCCACCCATGACGGTTTTTTAAGTTCACAAAAAGCTTCTCAAGATATGTGGGTAGGAGGTTTTTCGGGAACTGCTTATTGTCGTTGTTATGCTACACTGACTTCATTTCATCACTGTTACACTTTACTTTATGGATTTCACTGGCGATTCGGCTATCTTCACAATCCCCTTAGATAATGGTACGGTAAAATGCTCAAGTCGATGTGATCACCGTAACTTTGCCTTACCAGTTAGGGATATTGCGCCATATTACCTCCTTTGAGTATTGAACCATCTTCGCCTCTGTGAAGGAGCGTTAACTCCAGACACCTCTATCAGGCTATCACCTCTAGCATCTGATTTATAGGGCTCCTTGGGAACTTCCATAGTCAAGATCGCCGAGCAATTTAGATGACCGTTAAAGGCAGAAAACTAGGAGCAGTATAACTCATCAGTGGCCAGATAGACGTGAAAAATCGCAGGATCTCGAAAATATATGACTGAAGGCGCACAATAAAACGACATAATACCTTCTGGATTAATCATCTCTATGGTTGAGCCAGGTTACGAGGGAGGGAACGCAAGTCCGGTCGAGAGTCGGTCCCCACTGAGCAATGTACGTAAGCTGTTGATGTACATCGGGTAAACGCATTTACACGAATGCGTTCCATTTTAAAGGCACCGTTCACGATAAAAAAGTTATTGAGTTCTTACCTTATTAACACTCAGCGGCCCCATGGGTTGTAGAACGGACCCTCTTACTCTCCCAATCTCGACGTCCAGGCATAGTGGAAGCCCCATTGCTGCCGTAGTTCGCTTTCCTACCCCTCGATCGGTGTCACGTTAGACGAGTGTTGAGGCAATACAGATTGCTATTATTCGTTCTAGGACCCACGCACAACCAGCTAATCGCCGAGTGATGAGGCGATATTTTTCTCCCATCCTTTTTTCCTCTGTTTTTCTTTTTGCTGCCGCGATCCCTTTTTTAAATTTCCTACTCCTTGAATCTGAAAAAGGTGAGTTACTTTTGCTGTTATTAGGGTTTTTTGCTTATTTATGCTCATAAGTGAATGAATTTTTGCTTACCATTGTCTGTTATTCGCACCAGGACCCACACGCGCGCAGTGAAACGCACTGTTTAGCTCGTCCGGACACCCCACTCTCCTTCATTTTTCTGGTTTCATTCTCGTCCACCCCTCTTTTTAACGGTTTTTCGAATCCTTTTTACACTTTGGAAACACCGATGCACGCAGTTCCTTCACCTCAGCCGCACTAGTTTCGATCTTGTCTTCCATTTTTCATCATATTCTGGATTACCCAAAATTGTCGTGAACGGTGCCTTTAAACGATGTCAGACCCTGCTGAACATGTACCCTCAAGGGATTGTTGAATGGTAATAGGTGTCGAGACCGGTTTTTGACCCTCGTTGCGCCACCCCTCAACAACCAGACAATGCCCCATACGGCTTTCTTTTATCTACCATAGATTCCTACCAAGAATAAATCTTTCCATTCGCATCGCGGACTGCGTCTTTGTATGTTAAGTGTTCCACCCATTTTCGCTCTTAGAATAATGAACGTGATTCGATCTTCAGAATGCTGCATGTTCTCCATGCCTTCATTTTTCCACTTCTAATACACAAAAAAATTGCTTCTACGTCGAATTGGATTTTGACAAAAACTGATTCAAATATCTATGTAATATGCCTCACAATACACCCATTCCCAGCATTAGTAGGTACATTCAGGCTCCATTAATTTCAGGTATGTTCATGAGACCTGTGCAACAGATACCAATCAGGTGCAGGTCGTTATCAACTCCGTTATCGACACCATTGTACAGGAGAATCTGAAAGATACCGGAATGATCTGAAATAAGTAGANGTCGATCGGGTTCCCCTAATGGAACAGGGTTTGCCTCTGGCCATATCGCGTCCAATTATTGCTCAATTTCAAAAAGTTTTCCAATGGTGCTTTGATGCTCAGAAGGCCTTCATAATTGTTGTTGTTTTGTATTTCTCATATTTTTTGAAAAAAGTCGAAAATATTTTTGCCACTGTCGTCAAGAATACGAACTTCGGCGCGACTATGGATCAGCTAAAAGGACAGCCTAAAAAGCAGATTGGTTGCTTGGCCCTGGGTTTATACTTAAAGCTGGGAAAACTTATCCAGAGCTACAGCTTTTCCTGATTCAAGACGTGTTGCTTTTATTTTCTGTATTTATTGCGTACTTGTTAATATCCTGCTCATTTTTGTATTACTGAATAAACTAATTATTATACATGTGCCATTCGCCAATGTATTCATATATTGCGCCATGTTTTTACTTTCTTCCCAATCTCGCTTTTTGTTTGAGCCTATACTTTCACAGTAATTTGACTCAGGACATTCAAGAAACCGTTAAAGCTTCAAATGATTTCACTCCCCGTGTTATTCCCAAGTAAGATTCATTCCACCTACGTCTAATTGAAAGGTTGGCGCGTAAAATCGATTTCTATCCTACAGTACACGCGTTCTTAATGTAATGCATTATCGGCTTTCAGAAGTTATGAAAGAAAACGAATAGCACCAATATCTGCCAAGGGAAGGGTATACGACAAGAATGGATTTCCAAATAAGGTTTGATAGGTTGTAATTCATCGTGTAACATACATTTGAGGAAGACAAATGAGCCTCAAAACTGTGGCCCAGTTCCAGATAGTTCTCCTTCAAAGTAACCTCATACTATGGCCATCACTATTGAGGTATGCCGATGACAGGCTAAACTGACAAGCTGGCACTCCTGACTGTCTGTTCACTGCTGAATTGAAGTTTCTGCGAAACGAAGCTCGAAATCTCATTCGCACGAATACAAAAAGAAATTTGAGAGTTTCCCTTCCTCAGCGTTTATTAGGATAGTTTCGATCAAAAACTCATTTTTGATGTTTCCAATGACCACATCGTATTCCTTCGCTGACTATAGCGATAGCCCCTTCATACCCATTTTTGGGAGTCATCACCAACATATATCGTCATACAGTCATGTAATGTGGTTCAGGTGTGGACGAACCAAGGTTAAGCCGTGGCTTTACGTCCCTTCCAGCCTCTTCCCCGTCAAAGTTAACCTCTCACTACGGCCATTGCTATTGAGATATGAGCCGATAACGGGCTAAACTGGTAAGGTGGCATTGCATACTGTCTGCTAACTGCTGAATTGAAATTACTGCTAAACAAAGCTTAGAATCTCATTCGCATTACTACAAAAAAACTCGAGAGTGTCCCTCAGTGCTTAGAATAATTCTGTAGCAAAACCCCCAAGTGACAGTTTCCTTCTCGTTAGTTTATTAATACCTTTAAGCTTGAAAACTTCTTCTGCTCGGCTTCATAGGGCTCTCCGGGGTAGCCACAAGCGGATTCCTCCCTGATCAAGTTTGTTCCACTAAGATCACTGAACACGAGGGCTCACAGCTGAGACTACCAGTTCCAATTTTTTCTGGACGCTTTTCAAAATCTCCTTCCGAGTTTTGCTTTCATCCAAATTTACAATATCCCTTACTAACTCCGTGAGACTTGCTGTAGTCTCGGCGACATTAAAGATCTCCTAAATTCTCAGTTCATGGTCTGATTTTTTCAGCAGCTATGCTGCCGCTCTTTTTCGCAGGTGTACCGTAGATCGTGAAGAAGAGATCAAGTTTGAGAAGTTTAGAACCGTTGTGGACCGTCTGCGTCTCTCACATAGACGGTGGATCCTACGATTGCCGTTGCTCATACGAATCATTCCTCGATGGGATGTCGAACAGCTTTAGAATTATTGCTAGATGGCATTCTATTATGCTTCAATTCTGTTCAATCCTGTACATAAGGAGTAGCGGCAGTGTTTGGGCTGCGGCATTGTTGGGGTAGGTTTCGTAAGGACTCCTTCCAATGATGAAGGTAGGTCGATAGTAGCAACGCTTCTTGGTGATGTGCAGCTCTTACAATTAGATCCGTGCGCTCGTCTTAACGTAAAACATCTGCACGGTTTATTTTGTAGCTGAGGAGTGAAAGCTCTAACGACCTGACTAGACCGTAGATAGCCTTCAAAGCAGATTGGCTGCCCTGGCCTTGGGTTTACACTCAAAACTGGGAAAACTCATCCAGAGCTACAGAGCTACAGTTGTCCCTGACTCAAGAGGTCTTATTTTCTGTATTTATTGCGTGTTTGTTAATATCCTGCTCATTTTTGCATGGATTTTTAAATTATTTAAGTGCCAATCCTCGATATTTTCATGGATTGTGCCATGTTTTCAACCTTCTTCTCAATTCACTGGTAGTTTGAACGTGTACTGAGGTTTTATAGTGATTCGTTTCAGGACGTTCAAGTGACCGTAAAAATGCTACACTAGATTGACCTGGATGTTATCGGAACTCGCTTCACAGGCCGTATGGTTTTACCTCTATTTTCTGAAGCTAGTCCCAAAATACTACCAGAAGGATTACTTCTCTTACGCCAATTTGGCGCGTGAGCGCGTAAA